TAATATTACTTGTAAAACATCCAGAGCCTGTTTCCATAAATTGATTAAAAATACTTTTAATTTATTTTATAAAAACAACCATCTAGAAACATAGATCTAGAAACTAGCTTCAAAAAGTTTGCTTGTAAAGAAAACTACACACTGATAAAAATAATCCGAAACTAATGTTAAGGAAAAATGTGATTTTTTTATAATTCTATCTATCATAAAAAAACATTTAAATCCGTTAGTTTCATCTCTATTGCCTTTCATTTTGCAGATTTGCCTTGTTACGCGATGTCTCGTTACGACGCCTCGAGCAACGTTACAATAATAGTTTGGCTTTTCGTGATTTTCGCTATATTATTAGTTATAGGTCTGACAGTGGCAGCATATTTCATATATCGCCAACATCAAAAGAAGAAATTGGCTACAGGTATTCTTCAAAATGTGTTAATATCATAATTTATAACAATTTTACGTTTTAACAAAAACGTAACTAAAAGATAGTTAGTTTACGACATCGTATTTTTAACTGTATGCATAAAGCATGATAACAAATTATTTAACGTGAATGACAAGACAAACGCTCGCACGCTTACGCCATATCAACTCGCTCTTAAGACGCTTAAATAAAAAGTTTATAATTAATATTTTATTGTATTTTAAGCGACGAGATAACTATCTTGAAATATTAGTTCCAGCAGGTACATCAACAAACATTTTTGTGCGAGAATCTCCCGCTACCGAGATTTTGTTGCCTGACATCTAATTTTAAGGAAGACATCAATACAACGACAGTAGAAAAATAGACTGCAGTAATTGTGATAATGATGATAAATAGCACAGTTGTAGTAGTAATGCAAGAGGAGCAATAAAATACATTACATCATATTTTATTGTTCCATGACATCTCATAAGACAAAGATAAGTAATATTCATTCAATAATCGCGCTGTTAGTAATAATATTTTCATATAAGTTTAATCAAGTTTGTTATTCCTTTGAGCATATGTATCAAGATGTTTTGATAATAGTAATAGAAATATTATATAAAATTGTTTATTAAAATAAATGTTATCTATTACGAACGCAAATTTAATTTATTACAATATACTCCATTGCGATCAATCACTAATATTATCAATGAATATCTTTCATAATGAGCGGGCCGTGTAATACAAGAAAATAATTTTGATATTATGTAAAAGAATATTAATTGTGACGCAATTGACACTGTTTACAACCGTTCAATGATAATGAAATTCTCGAGACATTTTCGGCATGTGTGGCTGCAATATATCGGTCACCTCCTTTAGACTGTAATTACTGCCCCAGTTCTGGCCTTGTGCTATCAACAGATGTCGATTAAAATCGAAAACCAACAAAACGAATAAAATTTTAATTAAAAGTGTAAAAATAATATTAATCGTAACTGATAACTTTTACAGTAATATTACCTTCAATAAAATGTGCAATAAAATGCAGCTTATCTCGTAATGTTTAATATTAATATTTTAAAACGTTGATTAAATTTTTGTAAAAAAACTGTCATCGCTCTGCTAATCGAGTCGGCTACTATCAAATATCTGTTATTTGTATTATTCTCTCAAGATAGAATTTTTATTATTTAACTTCCTACTTACTCTTTCGCGCATATAAATAAATATATCAATATTGCTAATACGTGAAATCTCGCGTTTATATTCTTAGTCTCGCAGTTCATATCACTGTTGCGACGGATACGAGTTTACAACCGAAAGAAAAAGTATTTTGGACTGCATCATGTGTGTAAACCAATTTGTCAACATAGCTGCGGACACGGTATATACATATTATGTCCAAACGAATGCACCTGCAATTACGGATACCGCACAGAAGAAACGGCAGCACCTAACGTATCACGCTGTATTCCTGTATGCACTCATTTTTGTATACACGGCACATACGTCGCACCCGAAACTTGCGAGTGCAATTCTGGGTACAAAGCGACGATCATCATACTTACAAACCCGTCTGCATAGCAAATTTATTTATTACATTTCTATATCTTAAAAAATAAATTAGTAAACTTTAAGTATTAACCCTTAACTAGCACACGTCCGCGATCAAACGTTTAAAAGTTAAAGTTTTAAGTTATTAAAAATTTATTTTTTTATACTTAATGATATAAATTTATTAAAATACTGAAAATTTTATACTTCCTTGTTACACTTTCTCGAATATTTATATACTCACAATAAAATTAAATGTTAAATATTCTTTTACATAATATCAAAATTATTTTCTGCTTTAATCCCAAATTTTTCGATAAAAAATTAATTTCAAGGCACAATTCCAAAATATTCTATGGAATATTTATGAGTATTATTTGAAACGTTTACTACATCAGTTATTATGTATCGATTTTTATATCTATCATAAATTTTGAAATGTTTTGTTTTTCTTTCAATATTTCGCAATAAACTATAATAAAGACTTAGTTAATCACTTTTTCATACTAGAATGTCTTGTATTAAATTCTTTCGCATAATTGCACCTTTCGCATATTTTCGAATAAATAGTAATTTCTAAAATAAATGTTTCTGTTAATCCTGCTTCGGATGAATTTGTCTCAACACGAGTGATCGACTTTAAAATGAACTTCACGCTACGAATACATATGCAGGCTTTAAGTAACTTTTAAACTAGGGTCCCACGGTGTGTGGTTCGTCACGACACGTGGCTTATTTATGCCTGTCAATAAATTCACCTCGCAAATTAGCAAGCAACGAACTATAACAAGCCACAAAGTTCCCACGGCGCGTTTGCTCGTCTAGTTTAGACTCATATAGGCTCATAGTCTTCAGCTCATCAGTTTGAAATGGATAGCCAACGAGAAAAGATCGTGGTCGGTGCAGCAATAATACATCTTTTCTTTTTTTCATTTAATTAGAATGTTTAATATTGTTTCCATTCTTTTTCGAGAATCGTTTATAGCGTTCCTATCTTTATGAGAAAGAATGCCTCAAGTTCTACAGTAATTCTCCTTTCTTGTATGCTTCTAAAAATTCAAAGTTTTCTCATTCAATCACTTTCCATGAGTCAACATACGAGTTAACAATTGAATCACGTTTTTGGTTTTTGGTTTTATGGATTTTATCTCCACGGCTTCATTTTTATAATCTCAAGTTCTCGAGACTACTTGGTGAGTTATTTCTTTTTTTAATTGTTTTGTATTTTTATTTTTTTAATTTTCGTGTGTCAGGTTTGTCCTGATTACAGACCATTAAGTAGCCATAAATTTTAATGTCAACTTTTTTATCCACTTGACTTTTTGACCACACTATCAAGGTATCAAGAAGCACTTATTGCTGACTTAACAAACGTTGAAAATTAACTTTCATTTATCATTTGACTTCTCAAAGCGAAACCGTCGTAATATTTACGTCCTAATATTTACGTTCTAATTGTAGCTAAATATTGTGACTACTTACACACCAACACACACAATCGCGTTGTTCTCTCACTGCTCATTTTTACCCCACTTTGTTATTTTAATTATCGAGAGTCCTATTCTTATTCTGCCATCAGTTTGAATTACATTTGCTTAGACGCGCAACATATATTTTTCGACAAGCCTATCAAAATCAATGAATCGAGTGGATGAACGCTATCGGTGGTTAGTGGCTCGATAAGTTCTTTGACTCCGATAATATTTAACCCAAAGTATCAAAGAGCAATAGAAATTTCACAATCATGAAAACGATAAGTAGTCTATGAAGCAGATCATTTAACGAGCTTTAAATTAAACAATAAAAGGAAATATAAAAATGTCATATCCTAAAAAAGATTCTCTGTTTATCGACTCTCAAAAGGAACGACGAGCTAGGAATCGCGAATCGCGAGCATTAGCAACCTATCCCGGTTCTATGATGCGTGGCTCGGAATGACTTTTGGTGTAATTGATCAAGACTCTACACGTCGTGGAACCCCGGCTTGATAATATAGCATATCCTGCTTCAAAAAAATAATAGCATAATATATTGGTGTGTTATATACACGCGAAGCAAGGAGAGACATAAATGAGCGATGATACATGGGAAGGAAGCACTTTAACAGTCGATCTATAAACATCACGGAGTGAACACAACTTCGTAATAGAGACGACAAATCATGGGGTTACTTAAGAGTTTGATCGCTCTTTTGGCTATCGAGATACTATTTTTAAAAGTAAACGCAACTCCACTTGTTGGCCACCCGTCATCGTCCCAGCTGGAACTAAAGAAAGATGACGCTGTAGAAACATTCAATAATTCAAGGTACAATGAAAGGTCCAGGTACTTTATATTTGTTATTGTACTCTATTCACAGATCACGTATCAATTTCTAAGGTAATTTCTTCGAAATACCTTACAAATTATGCGTTTATATATGTTAATACGTATATTAACTTTGTTAATTTTATTACAGTCGAAACGTATCACAATTAGTTCCTTATACGGAAACATATAGACATAAACCAGAACATGCTAGGCCTGGGGAACCCTATCAAATCAAGACTCAATTGAATTATAAGAAAGAGGTAATCAAGCTGATAAATAACGCGATGATATTCGATGAAGAAATAAAGAAGAAGAAATAAGAGAGAGAACAATTTTCGTATAAATCAGCAAGCTTGCAAACGATTTGTCAATCTCTTGTTTACTTGTTTGCTTATGCTACAACTATATAATCCTATATTATTACAGTTTCAAACGGAGTTGACATGCTGCGAAGGCTACGTGCAATCCGGTGCAATGTGCGTACCGCGTTGCCCGCAATCGTGCCAAAATGGTACTTGCAAGAAGCCGAACGTGTGCACCTGCAACACAGGATACCGCATGTCAAGCAACGGCTCGTGCGTATCGCAGTGCAAAAACGTTTGTGTCAACGGTACTTGTGGCGATCCTGGGATTTGCAACTGCAACAAGGGATATCTGTTGGACTCGGACGAATTCACCTGCCGACCTATCTGCCCCGCGCAATGCGAGGAAACTCACGGATACTGCACCGAACCAAACGTGTGCACGTGTCCTTCCGGTTACAGGCAACACAGGAGATTCAAATACGTCTTTAAGTTCATGTGCGAACCCGTTTGCGATCCTGAGTGCCAGAACGGTCTTTGTGTGGCCCCTAACGTCTGCATGTGCGCGGACGGCTACGAGAAGAACGAGAACGATTCATTCATCTGCAGGCCTAAGTGCGATTCGTGCGCTTTCGGGATGTGCCTAAGCCCGGGGTTATGCAGATGCAAACCCGGTTACTCATCCACACAGCACAAAACTCAATATATACCTTTCAGAGACCTTCGCAAATTGTAACAAATAAGATCTCACGAATGTCTCATATATGCTTAGATACGTGAAAATGTCCGCTATTTTGTCACAAAGACCTTTATGAAAGGTTGCCCAGACATCTCCTAGAGAGTTACTATACCATCTCTGAGATGTTTTACAAAACATTTTAAGTACGTTGCATAGAGATATCTGGCAATTATTACATACGCTCATATAGTAGGATAATTAAAACCGTTAGGTAAATGAGAGGACAAACTATGTTAAACCACAAAATAAATTGTATTTGATCGCATAAACATTTTGTTCTTGCATTTACTTACAATTTCATTTATTCCATATTTGAGCTTTAATTATCTCTTTAAAGTTCTCCCATTTCTCTAAAAAAAACCCTACATAAAGTTATATTAACTTTTAATTTTATTAGATTTTACTTTATGTATATTTTTGATTGATATTTAGTCCCGAATTGAAATTCGGGAGATTTTAACAAAAACGTAACTAAAAGATAGTTACGACATCGTATTTTGAACTGTATGCATAAAGCGTGATAACAAATTATTTAACGTGAATGGATAAGACAAACGCTCGCAGCTTGCGCGATATCAAATCGCTTTTAAGACGCTTAAATAAAAAGTATATAATTAATATTTTATTGTATTCTAAGCGACAACGAGATAACTATCTTGAAATATTTGTTGCAGCAGGTACATCAACAAACATTTTTGTGCGAATCTCCCGCTACCGAGATTTTGTTGCCTGACATCTAATTTTAAGGAAGACATTAATATAAAGACAGTAGAAAAATAGATTGCAGTAATTGTGATAATGATAATAAATAGCACAGTTGTAATAGTAATGATACATTAGATTATATTTTATTGTTCCATGACGACATTTCGTAAGACAAAGATAAGTAATTCATTCAACCAATATTCGCGCTGTTAGTAATAATATTTTCATTTAAGTTGAATCAAGTTTGTTATTCCTTTGAGCATATGTATCAAGATGTTTTGATAATAGTAATAGAAATATTATATAAAATTGTTTATCAAAATAAATGTTATCTAATGCGAACGCAAATTTAATTTATTACAATATACTTCATTGCGATCAATCACTAATATTGTCAACGATCCGTGAATAGCTTTCATAATGAACCGTGTAATACGAGACGTGACGCAATTGAAGCTGTTTACAACCGTTCAATGATAATGAAATTCTCGAGACATTTTCGGCATGTGTGGCCGCAATATATCGGTCACCTCCTTTAGACTGTAATTACTGCCCCAGTTCTGAACTTGTGCTACCAACAGATGTCCGCTGACGATAAGCGAAACTTCATTCTGCGATAAGACTTAACTCCAACCGAAGGCCGGAGGTGTGCTGGTCTCACGTATGCCTTTATTCCTTTCCCCCCTCGAAACACGAATCGATTACAGCAAATTGCCGCAACTTAACACTCGGCAAACCGATTATACGCTCACTCGTGGCGCCAGGTGAATTCGTGAAAAGGATTCTTCCCGACGCGAGTTGATTTCCGGAAAAGTGTCCCGACGGAGAGTCTCAGCGGGGGAAAGAGAAAGGAGAGCAAACCGGTGTTGTCAGCCTGACCGATGAACTAATGAGCATACATGCATCCGCCGTCCCGGCTCTCTCCCCGGAGAGAGAGACCCACGGCGACTAACCCCGTGTTCTCGATCGACGTGGCGTGGACCGACACGACGGTGAAGCGAGGAAGAAGCGGGGCGAGTCGGAGTAGCGGCCGCGCGCAGCTGCAGCCGCGTCCGTCCTCGCTCTTACCCCGCGAGGACCGTTCAGTGAACGAGGTGGAGCGGTTTCGAGCGGTCCCGAAACGATCGACGTCTCCTCGTGGTGCTAGTTTGTGCAGTGCTAAAAAAAATACGGACGTGCTGATAAATTACGGCGAAGCCTTGCCGTCCGAGCGGTACGCTCCGCGTACGCTCGCGTGCGGGCGCTCGCAGTAGTAATAACGTTTATTACGCCGCCACGTAGGGGATATACAGACGCACGTAGACGGACGCGCGACGAACGCGACGTAAGGCGCTTCTCCCTGGGGCATCGACGGCGCGAGGGTGCGCCGGGGAGGTCGGGAGGGCGGGAGGGAGGGAGGGGAGCGCAGGCGACGGGGAAGGATGTCGATGCGCCGTCGGTGGTCGGTTTCGGGGGTTGATTCGCGCCGCGGGGGCGATGAGCGCGCTTCCCTCCGCCCTGAGACTGACCTCCTGCTGCTGCTGCTGCTGCTGGCTCCTGCTGATTTGCCTCGTCGTCTTCCTGATACCTGCGCCCTGCACCAGCCAGCAGACAATAAACCGGACTCGAAAACAGTCGGCAGGTGATGATAATGCGGCGGCGCACGAGTCCAGCTACCTCGACGACGACCCCGAGGTATACGAGGACGAGCAGATATCCACCGGCAATGGCGACCTCGAGGACTGGTTCGATAGAAATATTACCGCGGGTGAGTTAGGGGACGGTTCGTACGACGACAATGGCAATCGATGGCAGGAGAATAACCGTATTATACGTTCCACGGAGATAACCGGCGATGGTTGCACTTAAATTAAAATTCGATAATTCGGCGAACTCTCAAGCGATTCGTCACGTCGAAAAAATGGAGTTTTTTTCCGAGTCTATCTCTATCGAAACGTCAATCAGAATTTCCGATCTGAACGACTGATGAATGATACGTGAGTATTATAATTTGTGGGGTGAAAAGGTCGCTGCTATCGACGATTATAGTATCGAACGTTTTGAGGAAGGAAGACCTGGAAGCCAGCACTTACAGGATATACATTGTGATGCTAGTTCGTTGCCTAGGTGATGTCGGTGAAGATGAAATCGTTTAGACATCAAACGTCGTTTAAATTTACTGAGATATAGCATTTTTGATACGTAAATTTCTTAAAGTCTAAGAAAAATAGTTGACACGTACAATCAGTACAAAAACTAAATGTTATCGTCATTGTCATATTAATCTCTATTGCAAAATATTGTAAAAGCACGAAAAGATTATTCAAATAATGCTTATGATACATTGATCAATTTCTATTTTTATATTATCATGTAATATTCGTGAAACGTCATGAAAAAAACTTTTAACGGGACTATCGCTAAATATATTAAATATTTCTTATTTTTCTTTCTTCGTATTCTTTATATGTCTGTTATATTTTAAGAAAAAATATATTCTGAGAAAGTATCCTAAAAATAATAATCTGTAAAATTAAAAATTTCTTTCTGCTTATTTGCCGAATTATCAAGTAAATAGAAAAACTAATAAAAAGATGTAAGGAGCAGGAGATAATGCCAAGTTCTTAAGAAGTTAATTGTTAAATCAAATTGTTGACAAAGTGTTGTTTTACAATTGTCCAGAAATTGTTTGTGGAAATGTAAATGAGATGTATTCGGAATGAGAAAAATTAGATAAGAGCACGAGAAAGGCATGCTATAAAAATAAGCAAGCAAGATATCAGATTTAATCATAATTGCGCTCAAGTTTATTCAATAATTAATTTGCAAACGAAGCATATTCGTCTTACAATTAGACACGATAATGCTCTATTTTCACTGGTAAGACAATAACGATCGAGCGAAGGATATATCTCAAGGTTCTCCCTGTTCGCGCCTGCTCCATAATGTGCAAACACTTTCCTCGAGAATATTCATCCATTAAAGCACGTACCTTCGTTCCCGAATACATTCTCATCAATTTTTGTATAAAAAATATAATTTCTATTTTCTTTTCAAGTAAGCCATGTAAAATGTGGTTTTTCTCTATAAAAATAGTTTTATAGAGGCTGCTAAAAAATTATAACAAAAATGTATTTTCCTAGAAGCAATATTTTTTAATTCAATTGCAATTATTATTTCTATTCTATTTTTAAAAATCACACTGATTGGTCTTTATTAAATGCTTTATTAAAGTCACGTAAAATTTTATTAAATATTGTATCATATCGCGCTCATTTCTTTCGCTTGAATAAAAACCCTGACTTTTATCGCGTGGCGTCCATTTAGTTTTACGTTTTACGTTCTTTTTATGTTTATCTCTTTCCGATTTTGTATTAAAACACCTGACGCGCTATTTTTACGTTCTAAAGAAGGCGGAAAGTGCCTCCAGCGGTTTTGGTCTTAGCGCAGGCGTCGATTTAAGCAAGAAGGAAACGCGTTCTTCTTCTTGATTTTCGCGCCAAGCATGCCGTCGGTATTGATTTTAATGGATGCTGCAAGCTCCGCTCTCCAGGCTCGAGTGTGTCAATTGCACCGCACATTGTGCATACGTTCGTTCTCTTTTGAAAGTGGAGCTTACCGCGAGGATGTAGCTTAACAAAACTGATGGAGCATTGTTGGCGTAAATTTTTTACTCCTTCATTCATCGTGCTCATCTTTTTGACATGAAAGATGCAATCGGACGGAATAGGTTAGCATGAAGAGTAAAACTTAGCCGTATATAGTTAGTCATAACACGGAAATTGATAAATGATAAAAAGAGACAAAAACTTACTGCTGTTTCAAATTTACTCAATTTCCAAATTAATTAGATGTATAATCTGCTTGATAATGGAAGTGAATTATTACATGCAAATAATGACACGCAGCAAGCGGCATTAATATGCTTATTGAATATTAAAATATCTTTATTTGATTTAACACGCTTTTTGGAACTTTCCATAATTTCTATTTAACCAATACGATCCAAGATAATTTTAATGATCGAACGCATAATTTCTTAATTGCACTTAATATAGCTGCACGTGCTAATCCATCAGACGTTATTAAAACTTTCCGTTGAACTCTCCGTTGAAATCACGCGAATCTAAATTTTCGCTCGATGAGGGAGCGATAAAGCGCACGCGACGCCGCGGTAACGCGTACGTGCAATGAACCTTAATCAGTATAAAATTACATGCGGCCTGCTAAAGAAATACATTTAAAGCCGCGCATTTTCAACCGTAAAACTAAAAGAGTACGCGATCATCGCGAAACGGCACACCGGCGACTACATCGCACGGACGCTATTATCCGCAAGACAATGAGTTCTGTAATATTGAAATTTCTGCAGCTGCATACGCGTCCATGGCGACGCTAAATGACACAAAGCGCATTTATCACGCACGACTGTGGTTGTCATTAAATAAACGATTTGCGCGCTGATCCGAATAGCCCGAGACGATCGAGAAACGCACCGTAAGCGATTATAAATAAAGATATCAATATATTTAAAATATAAATAAATAAAGATACACATATGTTATTATTAGAATATGTAATAAAGTATATTAACAAATTAAAAATACTGGATTTGCGGACTCAAAAAGAAGCTTTGGAGCTTATTCATGATATATTTATTTGTAATAAAAGAATTAATCTTTTCATCAGTAGATACAATTTTTAATGAGGAAATTTATTTATGTAATTTAAATGTCTGTGGAAAATATATCGGCGTTTTAGAGAATACTCGATTAGGAAATTTATAACCGTTTACATTATCGCTGTATTGCCACACAATGCAGTTTGAAAACGTGCCAAAGGGAGTTAGCCGAAGGGAATTATCATCTGGGCTACTGCTGCGAAAGCAACAGAGGACACAGTACGATACTGTTATTACAATAACCTGACAGTGAACTCATAACAAATAAGTTGGAGTGCTGCGCCAATTAGGTTTAAAGTCCGCAATTAAATTAATAAATTGCAGAATTTACGATCACTTACGTTGCTTCGAAATTCACATTTTAATCGTACTATTGCAAAAATTATCGAAATACAAGCGAACGTAAAAATTTATTATCAAAAATACACAGAGCTGAATTAGCCCTCTATCTTTACTAATGACAAATATGTCAGTGGAGAAATATTTAAATACTTTTAGATTATCCAAAAACTAATAAAATTAAATTTGTCATAAATATATACAAATAAAAGTAAAGCCTTCTAAATTTTTTTTCACTAATAAAGAAAATGTTATGTCGCAACACTAAGACTATATTGCAGGAAAAATAACCCATAATAATTTCAAACTGTATTAGCGCGAGAAACTAATAACAAATATAAAATTTTCGATTTTATAATTAATTTTAACCGTGTATGTATCAGAAGCTATATGATTATTATTCTTTGTGTATCGAAATATTATTTAATGTTTGAAACAGAAATTTAAATACTTATGTGACTTTTTGCAGAAAAAGGACGGTACTTGGGCTCGCCTTGCGACCGCGACGTCGTGTGCAATGCCGAGCTACAGCACGTGTTCTGCGATTCAATCACTGGCCTCTGCGAGTGCGAAAAGTTGTACCCCGTTCGTCTCGGGCCTACCAAGGGATGTGCCAAACGTATGTAAAAGCTAGCAAGACTAGTTACCTTCATGCCTAACAAGTAGGTCGTTCCGATATCATAACTTCCATGGTAACGGTCGGTGAAAATAAATGTTCGCGCGCTCCTGATAGCCTGAATGAAGTCCGACGACATAAAAAGACTTTGTGTACTCGTTTATTTTATACAACGAGCGTAAAGCGCGAGAAACCGTAAATGAATTTCTAAAACGATAAAACGTTTGCCTAATATTATATCAAAACGCAAGAAATTTTAAAATGATAAAAACATACTTCGTAGCAAACATTTCGAGACGCAATATAAAAATACAAGACTGTCTATAAATTGGAAGAACGGGATTTTGTCGACAATTTGAGAAAAGATTGAATCTATCTTATGTATGGAACTTTGAAACTTTGATTAAATTCCTGCTGAATAAAAGATGTCTTCCTCAATAAGTAAATACGAGCTATCGATTCTTGCTTTCAGCCAAAAAACTCGGAGAACAGTGCTTCTATCGTGCGACGTGCACTTTTGCGGATCAACATTCGACGTGCACGCAGGTTCAACACAATGCGGTATGCGATTGCGAGGAGGGATATCACAGGGTTGCTCTGTCCAGGCCTAACAAGAAGGTTTTCTGCGCGGAGGGTATGCCATTTATCCCCGATATTTGTCACAATCACCTTCCGTTCAAGATTTCTATGAGACTTTTATAAATCGATCGCGAGAGATCTTGATGGATTTAAAAATTCCGTCGCCTTAACATTAGACCTGTTCGTTTTCGCGCAATAAGTTAGAATAAAAAAACATATATTTGTTTCATTCTAACTTATCGCACTATGTTGCACTAGTTCAGAAGTGCAGCGAAAACGAACAGACCTAATAATTACTATCATTAATTTTGTTGTATAAATAACATTAACATTTATCGTTTTAATGTTTAACATACTCAGCTGATTACCATAAATACTGAAATAAAGTCATTAAAGCGAAACTTGAGGAAATATATTTTAATATCGATCCGCGAGTTTATCGTGCTATGTCCTCCTTTAATTCGTTGTAATCTGACTCGATAGATCTGGTGCTGATAACTACGGACCTTCCGACCCTACTCTGCATAGCATCGGGGATAGCCATCTTTACGGGGATGATATGCTTCGTGCTCAAACTATTCAGCCGGGCGAGGTATTCAAGGCCGCGGCATTACGCCAATGCCAATCATGCGCCACCCATGCTGTTTTCCAGTGATACTGGTAAGTAATGACCGATTAATCTCGACATTCTGCAAGAGGGGAAGTCCCGTGTAAATATCGCAATCATGAAAAAAATATCAACTCTGGAGAGACGTCAATCGCAACGTCAATCGCAACGTCAATCTGGGGATTTCCCTTATGATCCCCCATATTATGAATTATTTGTTAAACATGCGCGTTAAGATAATCCTCACTTTTCAAAATAAAGGAAATTAAAACTTATAGCTAGAATATTTGTGTTATAACTAATATGACAGCAGCGTGATTATTTAGATAAATTTAGATTATTTCATTTTATGAGGAATATAATATATATAATTTTCACGAACACGCCTACGCATAATCTTGCGTAATATGTTTCAATCTTTCCCTTCAAATTAAAAACATTTATTCTGAGTAGGAAAAGCCGAGATCAGCTTATGAAACTGTAAATTATTATACGGAATTAATGCGTCGCTCATAAGTTTATAATTTCATATTTTTTATATTTTAAAAAGTAACAGATTATGTAGAATTTCTAAATATACAGAAGGAAATTATAATTTGCTATTTCGAATAAAATACAAACAAATCACTCATCTTTATAATTTTTCTGAAACTGCACCATTTAGAACGTTTTCACACGAAATGCGCAAATTCGACAATAATAATTCTTCCCCTTCGTGGAGAACCTACTTTCGCTTCCGCGAAATCAATAGAAGATATATCTATACATCGATACGGCGCATAGTATATTCTAAAGAGAGGTATCTATTCTTGTCTCACTTCGTTACTTACGACGTCACACATCAAACTATACTTCAAAGAAACCAGACGCAGCAAGGAAATCAAACGAGCAGATCTTAAGAAAATTGTGCAAGAAATATAAAGCGCAGCATTCCTGCGCACGGGATGAAAAGTTAAATATATTTTCCTACCTATCTCACTATCTCAAAATAATATAACAAAAAGAGCAATTCTCTCTCGTTCTCATGGATCTTTCAACAACGACAGTTTTTAAAAATATTTCATAAAAGAGATATCGACGCAATCACCCACCTCCTTTATTTTTGTTTTGAACGAAAATAATTTCTGCAATTTCATTCTGCTACATAATCGTGTCCTATACGGAAAAATATTGAATCGCGCCAAGCAATATATCGTCGTATCAGCGTATACGTAACGTATATCAGACGTAGTAAACGGACAGCATTAGAAATATATCTCGTACAGAATAGTCGAACATGCAGCTCGCCGGCGCGGCGCGGCGTATCTCGTCCGAAAGGTCAAACGAAACGTCCATCACGTCCGCGAAGTGTGAGAAAGCTAAAGGCCATTTAAGCGCCGTCCATGGCCCGTATCGCCACCTCCATATGCGGAAATAACTCCCCGAAAATAAATTTCGCAGGCATCCCGTTGACGCTGCACGGACGGCCGTCGTCGCGATCGAGCCAGCGGAGCAACAGTGCCGGGCCTCTCAACTGCGCGTTCACCAGGAGGCCCAGCAGCGGCGGTAGCCGCGGACCCCTGGTACCGGCGTCCAGAGCAGGTGCGGCACGGGCCGCCGCTATCTTGCTTATATCGTGTCACCTGCAGGCGACCAAGGACGGCAACAACAAGCACCGACGTACCCTTAGTGACGTGGCCGAGGGATCGACCGACGGCCTCGGTAGACGATCTCGTCTCTCTCTTTCTCTCTCTCTTTCTTTCTGTCTCTTTCTGCCTCTCTATCGCTCTTTGGGTGTCTCACATCCTGTCGTAAAAATACGTTTCATACCTCTCTTTGACGTTCGCTCTGTCTTCGTACTTGCTTATCGATCTATATTGGATAATCGTGAAATTCGATTTGCGTTTACGTGGCTCGTATAAGTGACATAAACATGACCCAAAGAATATGCCGCCTGCCTTCGTCGAGGAACATTGTTGTCGGTATCATTATCGCTGTGTTCATTCAAACAAGTGTTATCCTAGCAGTGACAGATTCACGTGTCTCCGTCGTCACTACGTATGTGTAACTATCTATCATCTAACTCTCTCTCTTCTTTCTCTCTCTCTTTCTCTCTCTCTCTCTCTTTCTCTCTATTCTTTCTCTCTTCACATATACTTCTCCATTTATCTTTTACACTTCCTCTATGTTCGTCAATGCAATTCGCTTCTTGTGCTGGCAACGGTGGTGTAATTGCGAAAGGAAGATTATTTTATGATGACGATTGATGATGACGGTAGCAACAATGCTTCATACCGAATCATGTCATTGTCGCTGTTGCTGTTACATGGTCATGGTAACTAGCTGTTGTCGATGGCTGTATTAGATATCCGTGTTTCATCCGAAATCCCGGCTCTTGGTAATCTCGTCTGTATGTCCATAACGCGTTTTAATCGCTGGACAAATTTAATGGTCGTTCCACGTTTAATATCATCTGAATACGAAAGAAAACTTCGCAGCTTTGGATACAGTAATTAACTGTTCTTGTTAACTTGCATTTGGTAATTTTTACATCATTGTAATACAATTATTATTTACTGTTCACGGATTTCTTCAGTCAATCGTATATATGTACGATGATATAAGGATAATTAAATGCAGTTAACAAGAATCGTATTAATATAACATGTATATGTATATATATACATGTATCAATTCACAGTACGTTATTTCTTCCTAAAACTAAGAAATTAATGTGTGCTTCCTTGGCTGCCAATCTTAGATAAAATAATTAATAAATGAGTTGTTATATTATGTGCATAAAATAATATCTCAAAGAAAATCGTGCAGGCAGCAAGTCTGCATTGAATAAAAATAAAATTGCGAATAAAATGTATCACAAGTGTGTTACGAGATAGCAAGATAGCAGCGGCCGATTTCGTTGCTCGTTTACAAGTGAATCTTTTTCTGGTAAGACATAGAGAGACACGAAATCCTTACGCACTAGCTAGCTCGCTGCACACGCACAATTACACATACACACACACACACACACGTACGTATAAATATATCGCGTCGACAATGTATACAATTAGGGACCAGTTTCTCGGTAGATGTTACAACTCATAAGACTACTATTCTTTATAAAATTAATACTAGTAGAAGAGCAAATGTTTAATCAATCGATATACATTTTGAATATTCTTACCGGAAAACTATATCCCTACACACCAAAATAATATATGTAATATTTTTTTAGAATAGTTTGCTTTGCCAGCTCAGCTTACGTATTTTCTATACGTCAAAAACTTGCTTCTTAAATATGTATATATCATTGTAAAAATACATCTCGATAAGGACCTTGCGATCACGTACTTTCAGGTGTTTCAGTCACTGTTTCTATCAATTAAATTTACGCATTTTTTTTATTTCAGTAAAATATAATGATACATACACACAATATGCAAAGATTGCAAAGTTCTTTTTATAAAATTTCTTTTCATTAATTTGTAAGTTATTCTTTCGCATGCTTTTTATTCAATTAAGTAATTTTTAATGTCTGCGTAAATGCGGTGTCATTTTCTTGCGTTTAACTCAACTTACACGGCATACACGAGTCATTATTTTACAGAATATATTTTTACATACAGGATTATGTCTCGAAATACACAATGATAGCAAAAACATTTCGTAGACAAATATAGGATCTTTTCAAATAAGATTAGCATGTATCTCAGCATCTAAGTTTTCTCTTCCAAAAAATAGAAACGCGTACCTCAAATTTACCTTTATTATTAAACCTCTACTACTATTATTTATTTCCGTATGAATGCATTGTTATTTTTACTCCCGTTCTCGTATGCTTATTCACATGTCCAATTATTCAATTTATAGTACATTTCTTCGCAAGCCTCCACTCCCACCGCTTCATCGAATATTTATCGCGTTGTTTAAGGCAAGAATATATATTACAGTTGCGCACTTAGAAATTACGGTCTTAGATAGCTCAGATTAGAGATTATCTAGGATAACATATATAGATTCTCTTACTTTCTTTTTCAATATTATATTTCTCCTAGCATAGAAAGTAAGGTCGTTAGAGAATACATTGATGTCTTCTACGTGGCTCTCTTTTTCGCGTAGGTTCCCGCCGTCCTAGCTTAGCGTCGGTTCACAGTTCGACGTCCTCGTCCCGTAGCTACAGCGCGCGTCGACTCGAGAAGGAGAGGAACGACAAGGAGCAACGCCAAGTGATTCAGGAGCTCCGGCTGGCGAAGCAGCAGCAACTGCAGCAGCAACAGCAACAGGTGGTTGCCCCGACGCCCAGCCCCAGGACTCCCCATTCCACAGACGAGTTGCTGCCTGCGGTCGAAGAGGGGAAGGAAGTCTTTTACAACGAGGTAAGAGTCATCCCCGATCCCTTTTGGGATCCATTACAGTCTATCATCATCAGTGGTGATTTAACGTTGAAGAATATCAAGAAGCTTTATTACTGCCAGGCTTGCATTATGCTTGAATGCTGATGTATCCGACAACCATGTTCAACAATCAAATTTCTGACGGTGCCGCAATCTTTCTCCAAACAATTAAATTTGATTTTAAATTTATCATTATGTACAAAATATCTTTGAAAAGTACGACGGCACTCTCTCTTCTCTCTCCTCTCTATCTCTCTCTTCTCTCTCCTCTCTATCTCTCTCTTCTCTCTTTCTCTCTCTGAATGTAAGATACGGCGATGTGTTGTCGTGCATCGAGCTTTAAATGAGAGTTGATTACATTTGCAGCAGGTACCGACGACATCAGACGTATCAAATACCATCCCAATAACGACGACCACAACGGTGATAACGACGACGACGTTAACAACGGCGATAACCACTTCCAACGCAAACACGACCCGACCGATGGGCGAGACCGCGCCTATGGCAACGCCAAAGGCCATTTTCGGCACAAAAGTTGCACCACGGGCTTCCGATGACATTTTTCAAGTGTAGTCTTCATCGTGTAATGACGTAACATGACAAAGTCGATGGACTCTCAATTTATTAACGACCTTTTTATTGTATCGGCAAGAACCAATTGTAACAGTATCCAAACGGAAGCGCGTATGTAAAAAAAAAAAAAACGCGGGGACGCACTTGCGATAAAATACGGAACTCTTATCTATAGATATAAATGCACACACAAATATCTCGAGAATAAGCTAAATCCGTATTTTGTCCGCGTTAAAAAGTCAGCTTATAACAAATGACATGGCAACAAATGAGCCATTTACATGAAAAATAACTTTCCCAGAAAAGCAATTATACTAAATATCGCGATTTGCAATTTTATAACTCATTCCCTCTCTCTCTCTTTCTGTATTTTTAATTTAATGTAAGAGCAAATAGGATTATATATTTATTTCTTCAATTTATTTTAAAGTACTATAATTTACATACAAAAACGGGGTTAAAATAATATGGTCAATATATTTAGCTCAACTTCATTTAATTTAATGTATTACGGAATTTTTAATTTATTCTTTTTTTTTTCATAGCATGTAATTCCCGCATAGCATGTAACATTGGAAATCGATGTTTCATAACTGACTTTATAATATGGACGAAATATTAAGATACAGGGCACTTTCTGGATGAATGTATTTGGGCACAAGTGTACTTAACGAATTAGAAGGTGGCGACATAACATATTTTTACTCGCGGTACTTGCACAGATAAGAATTTCCGAATGCAGCTGGAAAAAAAAGAGTAAGGTGTAATAGCACAATTAAGCAACGCAATCAGTGCAATGATAGAATAACAGGTCTTTTTGGATGTCTTGATAGGTACAAACAAAATTATTGGAAGTGCTTATATCTATGTGAAAAAATTTACGCTTAATGTGCAAGAATTCAAAGTTGGCGACAAGATATTCCGAAATAAACTGAGTAAGAAGCGTTTCAATGCTTTGTGTGAAATAACCGAACTGAGAAATCATAAATATTCGTTAAATAAATGAATTACTTTGGTATCCAAAAATTTTTAATTGTACAAATGTATGATTTTATGAAACTCAGCAAAGGCTTTTAGATCAACTATGTCAGAACAATCAATTCGCAACAAAAATTCAGTTATTTTGATTAAAATAATATTCACAATGGTATAATTTACCTATCGAAATACATTGTATAATCACACATCAGAATATGATAAAAGCATTGAATCGCTTGACAATATTACTATTAAAAAATGCATCATAAAATTCTCTTTTTATAATTCTCATGATATAAATATAATAATCGTACTTCATTCAGAGAACAATAAAAATTATTCAAGTGTATCACGATAAATTGCATTACACAAAAGTTTCGATCGAATCTCTCATTTTAATGACAATATATCTGTTCAATAATTACAAATAATCGTCATACACTCGTTTCTTTAAGTCAAATTACATGAAACTAATGAAATTGTTCGTCGGAGTGCGATTACATATCACAGCAGGTCTTAAGGTACTATTTCCGTTCGATTTCAATCGGAGGAAATCATCGTATCGTACTAAACTTATTGAAAAATTCTTATTGAAAAATCAGGACGCGATAAGAAAGCTATTGGAGGGACAATCTCGAGTGGATCGAGGCTAAATATACTTCTATATCCTTACATAAAGCGATACAAAGGCGTAATCTCCTGCCCGGACTTAACAAAAGGATGATGCGATTGTAAAAGCCACGAGAATTACGCCGCATTGCTGCTATTACAGTTGCCTCGCTTTGCTAATTGGGACGGCCGCGGCGTGCAATACCGGGCGACGATTCTTTTTCCCTCCCAACGCAAACATTCCGTTAACTTGTTTTTAGGCATGACCAAAAAGGACGACTTACTCATTCGTCAAATATGTATACACAGTGCGATTACCTTTTATACCTTTAGACAAGTGCAGCAAAATATCTATATGTAGATATTACAAGACATTGTAGTAATTTGTTGCGGTTAAATCACTATCATCTCTTTCTTCGTTTGTACACTTCATCAGCCATTGTACAAGCTAAACGAAGAATTTGAGCGTATGTGAATTGCCATTTTGTTAATTATTATTTGAAAGTTGATTTAATTAATTTGGTCATATTTTTGTACAAAGCATGTTACATCTTTATATTAAAGTAATAGGGAAATATTATTTTCAAGATGTCTCACGATGTCCAAAAATTTATTTGGCGACTCGACAAAACTGCGAGGTCCTTCCCATTACGTTTAAGTCATATTACGCAATCGTTTGCAGACATTAATAAGTAAGTTAGCATAAGCAATCAATGCATTTCGACATCGTATCACGAGCCTTTCAAACACAATCTCTGGTTACTAGACTCGCGTAAAATATGAAATAATATAAAACCATTAAGAGACGTTATATATCACATGTACGCGCCATCACATATTCGTAATAAAGATTTACGGAAAATCGGAGACGCGTAATCAGAAAGAGGCGTAAATCTATTATTATAGCAAAACATGTATCAACATTCTCGTGTTCGAATAATTTACGCTGCCTTTCCCGAGTAAATAAATAAATGAAAAAAAAAAAAGGAGATGGACAGAAAGCATTGAAAGATATTCTTAAACGCTGCATAGGCATACATACGTACTTACACGCAAAATTCATGTACACGTGACACAGAAATAAGATTATCTTATACGTATTGTGTTCGACAACGATCGCACCTGGTTATTAGGCTCGGTTGCAGTCGATTGATCTATTACCATTAAGGCAAAGGACGAAGAAAAGATATGAACTTATATCGCGTAACACAGCCTGCATTTCTCTGATGATACTCAATACTCGACTTGCCGCCTGATTTATAAAAATCGATGTACAACGTTATCGTTTTATCCCGGTTTTAAATGTTTACTGTATCATAAGATTGTAATATAGTCGTTGGGCCAAATAAAGCTCGTTTTTTTTCGATATAAGCACACACATGGTAGACGTGTGATTATTTCTCCTTAGCTTAAAATAAATTGCTGAAGAAGATTGAAAGAAGGTCGACAAGTCAACACTAGAGATTTCCATCATACAAAACTTCGTGCATTATTAATATACCAATATCGTCCGGATTACATTGACGAGCGGATCGTTCCCTACGAGAAGGATGGCTACGACGCACACCCCGGAGAGAACGCGTTCGCATACAGTGATCTAGCCTCTAGGCGAAGATGTGTAACAAGCCAGTGCCAACGAGCGGTCTTCCCTATATATTACGCTTTCTAGGTCCTCTTTCGACAAACGACTCATGTCGTTGGTAATCGTGATCTCATTTTCTTTGCCCGTAGATTTTTCGATCGCACAGACACTTAACATGCCTGCAAAACAAAATACATTAGATTAGAGAAAACTTTACTTAAATAACGAATAATCGGATATCAATATCTTCGATTATTTAACATGTAAAATACTAATGTTTGGATCATCATAACTTACCATTAATGTAGATATCGAAGGTGACTTCGATTTGCGGTACACCCCTAGGCGCCGGAGGTATACCCGTCAGCTCGAATTTGCCGAGAATGTTGTTATCCTTCGTCATCACTCTCTCTCCTTCGTAGACCTGGATAAGCACTCCCGGTTGATTGTCGGAGTCCGTGGTGAACGTCCGGGTCCGTTTCGTTGGTATTGTTGTGTTCCTCTTGATCAAGGCAGTCATGACGCCACCGACGGTCTCGATACCCAACGACAACGGAGTCACGTCCAGCCAAAGCAGATCTCGGACCTCCTCGTGAATCTCCCCATACAATTCCTGGACAATCAACCGGGAGTGCAGAATTGCCGCCTGAACTGCCGCGCCATAGGCAACGGCCTCGTCCGGATTGATAGACTTGTTCAGTTCCTTGCCGTTGAAGAAATCTTGAAGTAGCTTCTGAATCTTTGGTATCCTAGTAGAGCCACCGACTAGAACAATGCTGTCAACTTGAGCCTTGTCCATCTCCGCGTCCCAGAGCGCCTTCTCTACAGGTTGGAGGGTGCTTCTGAACATATCTGCGCAGAGTTCTTCGAACCTACCCCTAGTAATGGACGTGTAGAAGTCGATACCCTCGAACAACGAGTCGATCTCAATGCTCGCCTGCGTTGACGAGCTCAACGTTCTCTTTGCCCTCTCGCAGGCAATCCTCAAGCGTCTCAGGGCCCTCTTGTTGCGGCTCACGTCCTTCTTATACTTCTTCTTGAAATTTTGCACAAAGTAGTCCACCATTCGATTGTCGAAGTCTTCGCCGCCGAGATGCGTGTCGCCGACGGTGGATTTCACCTCGAAGATGCCATCTTCGATCGTCAGAATCGACACGTCGAAGGTACCACCGCCCAAGTCGAAGATCAGGACGTTCTTCTCGCCCGCAGCCTTCTTATCGAGATCGTAGGCTATCGCGGCGGCCGTAGGCTCGTTTACTATCCTGAGGATGTGCAGGCCAGCCATAGCGCTGGCGTCCCTTGTCGCCTGCCTCTGAGAGTCATTGAAATAAGCTGGCACAGTAATGACGGCGTTTGTTATTGTTTTGCCCAGGTACGCCTCCGCGGTCTCCTTCATCTTTGTCAGAACCATGGAGGACACCTCCTCGGGGAAGAAGGTCTTCATCTCACCCTTGTAGGATACCTTGATCTTTGGTTCGCCACCATCGCTGACCACCGTGAACGGCCAGTGCTTCATGTCGCTCTGCACCGTCGCATCGTTGAAACGACGACCGATCAGACGCTTCGCATCTTTATAAAAAAATGATAAAGATTCGTAAGTTGTCTATTTCTTCAATAAATCATCTCTTAAAGCATATGGTGCTATAAGAAGGAGAAGAGGAGGATCCTGTGGATTGTGTCGGATTACTGAGGTGATGGTTGCGGAATGTTGAATTATCGCCGAGCCGAAAAACAGAAATGTTTAACACTTGCCAATACTTCAATATAATTTGTACAAAGGTAATTTTGTGTAAGGAGAAAAATCATAGAATAGTCTACTTACCGCGAATTGTAACCGTGAAAATAGATCAAAAAAATTCGTAAAATAATTATCACATATGCTGAACACAATACAAAATCGTATCGACGTATAAAATGTCAAAACGCTCGGCTAGCATGTTAAGGATGGGCGGGAGTGCAGGGAGCGGGGAAAAAGGAAATTGTACACGAACGAATGCTGCACACACACATACAGAGAGGCATGCACCGTCAGCACCGTGCTGGTATCGGGCAAAATCACCGCAAGTAAACCTGCAGTAAAACGCGATTGAGATAATTCGACTTCCGAGTTCCGAGCACGGAAAGTTTCACGTTCGATCGATCTCGAAGTCGAATAATTTAAAAACAATGTACAATTCTTCGTCTTAAAAAAACAAATCAATACGAGGCTTGCTACGTCGTAAATTTACCACAAAAAGCGCAAAATATTAACGATATTATTGCGTATCTCGCCAAATTATACTAGCAAGTTATATCTCGCTATTTAATCATCCGAATATCCTCGTATATTTCAGCATCGTTTCAAAATTATGATAATTGTATATATGTATCCTGCATATCAAATTATACCTGCAAGTTATATCTCGCTATCAATCATCCGTGCATTCTCGTGTATTTTAGCACCGGTTTTTTAGAAATTTAAACATAAAAAATTTCATATTTATTTCTTGAAGTATCTACGAAGAAATTCAATCGATACATCTCGCTCCTTGCAATCAGTGTAAGGGATATCTGTTTAATATTGGATACATTTCACCAGTTGAATATTGAAGCAACACGTTGGCGAATTAAGATCAATAAAGACGGCGTAAAAGATCCGGCGTCTTATCGAGGCGGGACCTTCCAACGTGATTGCGGCGCGAAAGTGCCAAGTGGTAACGCCGGTATCTCGAAACGTGACAACAAAAGCTCGACTTACCGAAGATGGTGTTGCTGGGGTTCATGGCGACCTGATTCTTCGCCGCGTCGCCGATCAGCCTCTCGGTGTCGGTGAATGCCACATAGCTCGGCGTGGTCCGGTTGCCCCAGTCGTTGGCGATGATCTCGACCTTCCCGTGCTGGAAGACACCCACGCACGAGTACGTGGTGCCCAGGTCAATGCCAATTGCCGGTGCTTCCGACATTGTCACTAATTGTCAGTCTTCTCTCTTATATTATGTACATACAATCACTGAAATGAAAAACCGACAGGTGACAAACGCGATACCCCGCTAACCAAAGCGTGTGCAAGAGTGCAGGCGTATAAGCACGACAGCGCACTGACTACTGAGAACAGTGAGAACTGAGAACTGAGCCGTGAGCGGCGAGCGCACGCTGCACGCTGCGCTCAGCATGTCCACAGTATAAACAGTATGGGGGTATGGGGGACAATAGACACTCTGTCGGCACCTTTGATTTATTGGTTTCCGATTCGCCGCTATGTTTTTAGGGGACCCATCGACGTAACAACGGTTAAAAGGGCCCGGGTTGTACCTACAAGTAACACTGCCCAAATGTTGCACGCCGATTTTTTTGAAACTATGCACACATGTAGAACGTTGAAAAATATTTGTGTCGTGTTTTTTTATTTCTGCTTATAAAGCGT